TAGTCTTGCCCCCCCCCAAATATCAGGGATACATCAACTGCATCCACTCCAATGAGAACAAGCCCATGATTCATTGCATCCCAAGTGCGTTCTTGGGTGGCAGATTAGCAAGAATGCTCTTGCCAAGAACACAAGTACGCTCTTTGTGTTCTTGGTATTGATGAACAATCTCTATGATGGAAAAGTACAGCTTCATTAACCATAAGCCTACATGTCACATGACATGATCCATTTTGACCAATACCGGTCATAACCGATATGGTACCTTGGCCAGCATCATCGCCGGCAGCCCCTGTCTGAGACAAAGTGAAATTGGCTGGCAAGTAAGCGCCCCTTCAGAAGCTGCCGCCCTAGGCAGCCGCCTGTGTCACCTGTAGGATTAACCAGCATCGATCATGACTTAAACTCAATGTGCAGTCATAATCCTGCAGTTATTAACCAGGGCTTTCGCAAGAAGGACAGATTTATGTGTTTGTGAAACTACTGAGCTAGTGCATTGTCCAGTTTAAGAATTCAAATTTTTCTTAAATGTATTGAATCTACTGAAATAATATTAACAAACTTCAGATTATAAGCAATGAATAGTAAGGTGAGTTGCAGATATCAAAAACATTTAACTAGCAACAAAGCAAAAAGGTGTTTGACAAACACAGAGTCTAGGTTTCACTGCCGGCTGAATAGTAAGGAATACAGCTATGGGTATTTAAAAATGCAAATAAATATTTATATATTTATATCCTTTGCTCAAAATACAGGTGATCTCAAATTTTCTCAACCAAGAACACAAAGATCATACTTGTGGTCTTGGCAAGACTGGTCTTGCTAACTTGAGTTCCAGGAACGAACTTAGGGCACACTGAATCATGGGATTGATCTCGTTCGATGAGGATGCAACTGATGTTTCCTTGACATTTTCCGTACTCTGTACTGTACTTGTCTTCCTTAGTATTGGAACTGGTCTTCGACAATGGAAGATGTACGTACATGAGAACGCCAGTACGGTCAAGTATGCATAATGAGATTCACCCATAGTAAACTTATCCGGGGCATGCTGTTTGCGCATTAGATTTACATCTTACAGGTAATCCTGCTGCAGCGGTTTTCAAGAATTCCCGTATAGGTATGACTAATTATCCCCATTTAATATTGCATACCTATATCACTTTAAAATTCTGTGCACGCAAACGGGCTCTATACGTGAAGATCTTTTGTACATTAAATGGAGGTATTTATTTTGAAAAGCATGTGAATTTATTATGCCACAGTTATTATACCCGAAAGCTTTAAATGCCTCAATTCTTCACTTGTCAGAATGTTTGAGATAAATAGATACATGTTAAGTGAAGTTAAGTAAATGCAGCAAACATTCACACATACCCATCCCGCTATATAATTAGTTAGAATTGTGTTACAATTCTTAATTCGCGCTGCGTTTGTCTGGAGTTCCATATGTAGCTATAAGCACGGCGTCCTAGCATTGCTTCCTTTTCATGGGGGGAAATTGGAAAGTGACAAATGGATTCATTCCGTAACTCCGCTCCAATCAAACATATGGACACGTGGAAACAGTGACCTCCAGTGTGCCAATAACGTACAGATGGACTGATCGTAGGTTTGTCCAATTAGCCATGGCTATTTACCACTATTATATATTTTTTAAATTTTATATATAAATGCTTGTTTACTGCGTTTTAAATTCTGGGTTGGTTGTTGGTAATTATTTGCTCAGTTAATCGCGGGTGTTGTACATAATTACACTATTCTCTCGCTTTTAACATAAGTATGGAATTGGAAATTTTCACACAGGGTATATAAAAACAATATTATGGATTCATTACTAGCGACAGCACTATTTCCGCTTGCAAAATTAGCATTAATAAAAAAACAGCAATACGGCCCTTAATTATACAGCCCCGCGAAACTGACCAGGATAAGATATTATAAGCTGGATAGATGCAAGTATGGATAATAATAGTGTAAAAATGTGAAGATCACACCTTTTAGAAGCATAATACTTGTCTGCCTAGGCTGGGCGGTACTTCAGTTACTTTAATGTGAACAACACGTGGGCTTCTCGGTCTCAGCCGAACACACGGAGACACACATACAGACGCGTAAAGGCGCTGCTGTGCGGCGAAATCGGGGCGCTCGAGAGCGGATTGCGGCTTCTGGGGAGACTCTACTGAGGGTGCCTGGATGTCCTCCTCTCTCCGGATCAGCAGACTGAATATTACAGTACTTACCTTTCAATGGAGAATGATTTTGATGGAGTTTATTTAGAATAAAAAATAACACTATAAAATCCACACGAATGCGTCCGACTGACCTGGAATTCGGATACTTTTCAAGGATGTTTACAAAATAAAGCTTTTTTTTTTTTTTTTTTTTTTAATAAATAAAACAAGTTAAGAAGTTAAGATGGATGCATTAAATTTTAGTGAAATCGATGCCTCGGAGGTAGTGCCTTCAAATTCATCTTTATCGGTGGAAAGCCAATATTCCCTGGCCGCGATGGCGGGTCTCGCTGCACTTGTAAGCTTTCTGATTGTCTTTACCATTGTCGGAAACGTTTTGGTCGTAATCGCGGTACTAACAAGCAGGGCGTTAAAAGCACCTCAGAACCTGTTTTTGGTGTCGCTGGCCAGCGCAGACATCCTCGTGGCCACACTTGTCATGCCCTTTTCTCTGGCGAACGAACTCATGGGGTACTGGTTTTTCGGTAAAGTTTGGTGCGTGATTTATTTAGCTCTAGATGTTTTATTCTGCACGTCGTCGATCGTGCATCTGTGCGCGATCAGTTTAGACAGATACTGGTCCGTGACACAAGCGGTTGAATATAATCTGAAAAGGACGCCTAAGAGAGTAAAGTGTATTATTGTGATTGTTTGGGTAATCTCCGCTGCCATCTCTTCTCCACCGTTAATTTCGATTGACAGAAACAACGAGAACGTGCTCTACCCTCAGTGTATGCTGAACGACGACACTTGGTACATTCTCTCCTCCAGCATCGGCTCCTTTTTCGCTCCCTGTATCATCATGATCCTAGTGTACATCAGAATATACCAGGTTGCCAAAACAAGGACCAGAACTATGTCTGAGAAAAAGCACGGTTCAGATCGCTCTCAGACTGAGAACGGAGTGAGCAGGGGAAGCTCTTTAAATGGAGAGAAGGAGAGGGAGAACGGACACTGCCAATCAGTCCCAGGGGAACAAAAGCCAGGGGAGACAGATGACATGGACCAGGAGGAGAGCACCTCCTCAGAGGGGAAGGGCAAGAAGCCCAGGGAAGGGAGCTCCAGGAGAAATAGGAGGAGCAGCAGAAAGAACAGCTCCCTGTCCAAACAGTCCAGTAGGATATCAAGGGCCAGTAGTAAATCCATCGACCTCTTTTCCTCGCGCAGGAAGAGGAGAAGCACGGGATCCCGCAAAAAGGTCTCCCAGGCTAGGGAGAAGCGGTTCACCTTCGTGCTGGCGGTGGTCATGGGGGTCTTCGTCCTCTGCTGGTTTCCCTTCTTCTTCAGCTACAGCCTGTATGGGGTCTGCAGGAAGTCCTGCGAGATCCCAGAGACCCTGTTCAAGTTCTTCTTTTGGATTGGCTATTGCAACAGTTCCCTTAACCCCGTCATTTACACCATCTTCAACCAAGACTTTCGGAGAGCGTTTCAGAAAATTCTTTGCAAGTCGTGGAAAAAATCTTTTTGAGGTCTCTCTGAGGCGGCTGATACAATGAGCAGATCCTACCACAGCAGGACAGACATTATGGCAACACCCTACTGCCTCTTCGGCATAGACAATCTAAAACATGATGGTTTAAAAATGTATGAAATATTACGAAATCTTTGATTTTCTTTTTCGAACTCGGCTGCGGGACGCTAAACTTGGTTTGCTGCTAAATTTCCAGTATTTTTGTTGTAAATAAGCCAAAAGAAGAGTAAAGAACTGTGTCAGAACCACTTCCTACCCTCCATTTCTGCAGGCAGTGTGAGATTCAAGCGGGTGTGTCCATGTTTCCAAGTCAGCACATTAGTGAAGCACACTTTGCTCAGTGTCAGTTCCTGGAAAGGATGTGAAAAGGCACCCTCCTGTCATTTGGGACACTGTATTGGCTGTCACTGTGTAGGTGGGAGCAGGTGATGTCGCCCGCTAATCAAGGTGCTGCAGCAGAAATGCAACCCTGCCAAATGCCACGTCTGAGCTGTGCAGCCTCACTGGGTCTGTTTTTCTCCACTGCAGATAGGGGCTTAAATATAGTTGCCTTTATTTGTTGGTTCCGGTGTAATTTATGTACTGTGGTAGCGCTGCAGGGGACTGGCAAATAAATATTTTAAGATATTAAGTTCAATGCAATTTTTTTTTTGCAGTGACACGGGTACAGGGGCATACAGTACACAGCGCGCGATAAGCTTTAGGGCCTAAGACTGGGCATCCACATTCAATATTTGTTTGCTGGTTGAGGAGAGAATTAGGGACACTTATTTTTACCTTTCTATGCAAATGGAAGTAAAATAAATGTATTGCCTGGCAACAGGAAACAAAAATACACCTTCTCTTAGATTTGTGCACTTAAGCTGGTTCAAAACAGCAAGTGATCACTCTCAGGCTTATTCATATAGACACTCGGCAGTTGCTCTGCGGGGTGTGGAAGTGGGGGGGGGGCGGTGTCTCAGGGTGTACTTAGTGCACGGAATGCTGTCTGTTTGAGGTCCCAGTGAGAGGTGCTAGGGACCTCAGGTATTCCTGCTTATAACCTTGGCAGCTGCTCAGCCACACAGGCGTGCGGAAAGTGGATTTGGGAGTGAGATCCATCTGAAACTTTAATGAGGACGGGGCTTAGATTCAAGATACTTTATTTCCTGTGCAACAAGTGCAGCAGAATGCTCACTCACTCAGCTGCACCCAGTAATTAACTATACAAGTAAATAATATACTACAGCCATGCAAGAGTACAGTGGAAATAAGTAACACTTAGTCATTAAAAATCACATAAAGTGCAGGTGTGAGGTATATTACAGTAGCAAAGATTGCGCTGTTTATGATGCAATCAGAGAAAACAGCTTGTGGCCAGGGTGGTTAAGTCCTGTAATATTTTATGTGCTTTACCGTGGCAGCAGTCGATTAAAGGCAGCCCAGATGATCTTCTATGGCAATCTCACAAGCCTCTATATGATCTTCCAGTCTTGACCTGTGGCCTTATCATACATTAATATTGTGGATAAATGTCTCCACATCTCATTCAAGGTTTCTTCAACTGCCTTTGCGTGTGCCGTTTAGAATGTGATGGCTGCGCTCAGATTCTAGGTGCAATATCAATATCATTCTGTAGGACGGAGAGGAGAGCCGTGATATAACCTGGAAGGTCGTCACTGAATCTGTACCAGAATTTCAGGAAAATCGATCAGGTAATTGGCCTTATCTCAGCCCTGCAGATCATTGCCATTGATGGTATTAGTCTGCTTCACATCTGCTTGCTTTAGAGCGCAGCTTTCATAGGTCATTTTCAAATCAAGTATACATGGTGAAATTCTGCAGCTGCTAGTATGAAGGTCCACAAAACTCTACTTGAAAGTTTATAAGTTGATCAGCTTCACCCCTTCAGACAACTCCAACAGATGAAGTTTAACTTAAACTATATTACTGTGTCTCCAAGGTATAATGCAGCGAGGCAGGGGAGGACTTCATACATTGTTAATGTCTGAATTTACTACTGCTATTGGTGAACATAGCACACAAGCTGGACTCTGAACCTCAAGCAGTGGGTACAGAGAAATTGTTTTAAATAATGGTAAACATAAAAACGTAAGATTTCACAGGTGAGCTGTAACTCACAACTGCCAGACATTGTCTTCATAACCTTATAAAAAATGCTGCATCGCTCTCTACAGAGACACAGTAATAAAGTTTGGGTTCAATTTCGTCAGTCTGATCACTTCTGATCACACACAGCTGCATAAAATACTCTCCTTATTATTCATTGTTCAGTTTTGCAGTTCACATCAGAGTCATAATTATTGTGATCATTTACTTTGACGGATGACATTTATCACACCGTGGAGCTGAAAGCAGGTACAGCCCACACAACTCATAAAATGCTAATAGTGTAACCTCTGCTACTCTCGGTTATGACCGAGCACTGTATCACACTCCTTATCTTCTCCTTGTTGAGGAAGAAGCATTCCTTCACTCTTAGCCCACAATGAAAATCACACAGAAGGCTGGTTTATTCAGGTGAGCGTTCAATACCTTCCGCACCTCCAGGGGGCGTCATTGTAATCAATTTCACTGCAGGTTGGAGAATATGTTTACATTGTACAATAGCTGACACCGAAAACATGAGGGGAGACAACTTAGTATCCAGACAATTGCTTCAATAAATCAGTTTGTAGCTGAGGTTGAGTGAATACCAGCATGTACTGAGAACTTTTGAGTACCAGAAACATACTGAGCTAAAGTTACTCAAGTGTTTTATTTGGGTCAATGTATGCTAATAAATTAGCATGTAATCTGAAGTCCTGTGTAATATCTTAATCTGTATATTATCAGCAGCAAGTGTAATACCATTAAGTATGCTGAGATGTACCACTTGGGGTTGAGGCCACATGATTCAAGTCTATACCCTAAATTTACCATCATTTCCTTATATTTGCTCCTGTTAATTATCTACCTAATCTATATCTTTTATCAATATTTCCCATTTCTGTTGCGGTGGCGGTGATGCTGGGATAGATAAATGGTTTCACGGGTTCCAGGGCCTGCTGGATATGAAATACATCTGAGATGTGAAATAATGTGAGGTTTTGTTGGTCTATAGAGAGAAACTGAATATCAGTGTGCAGACATCCACACACAATGGTGATTAACCGCCATGATGTCACTATGCCTGTCATTGGTAGGAAAGCATGACCCCGAATAGCTTCAGGTGTCATTGAGGGAGGAATAGTCAAAACTTCTGTAGCTGTTATGGAAAAGGAATTCATAGCAGAGGAATGACACACTGGATGAGGGGCACTAGGCAGGAGTCACTTAGTAGGAGTAACAAAGCGGCTGGTTGGAAATCAAAGATGGCATGTGACAGATTGTCGGTGGGCTCATAACCATCTCACGAAGAAAAGTCGTTTGACTGTGGTTTAGCAGGTCCCTTGGAGTTGTCTGGTTCTGGTATTTATATGGGTTGTTTTTCCCATCCAGAATAGTCTACTGGATATCCCAATAGCCAGTGACCGGTTAACTCTTTGTCCTCGATACCCTGACCTGCGATTGTGTTTCTTTATCATCACGTTTAGTGAAGAGGCCTTGTTACAGTATTTCTCGTGTGTACCGTTCATGGTGTCCGATTCTCTTTTCTGCCCAGTTTCCTACATTCTTGAAAATCCCTGCTCAGCCCTAGGTGACATGTATGATTTATAACGCAACTACATGTCGCAGTTTCAATTTCAAGTATTCCGCATGGATAAATGCACCAAATTCACATAAAAGATAAAAAAAAAATACTTCAGCAGTAGTAGCCAATCTGAAACCTAAAAAAAAATGTTAAAAGCACATGCATCCATTCATGAATACCGTTTTATGTCAAGTTACGTCTGATTGAGTCGCATCTGATTGCATTTACATCCGAGGTCCATGGCAAATAATATACACTGATTGAGAGACGCCTGTAAACGGATGTCGTAGGATAATAGTGGGTGGTATTGCTTAGTGTGCAGATGCAGGTGAGCAGCACTGCCAGCTGTATAATATCCCACTGTCCAAATCTAACTTGCAATACAGTGTGCATACAGTAATGTATATGTGACGGACAACTACAATATCGAGATACGCCCAAATTAACTTGCTTCTGAATTAGGTCCCGGTCCCAAATCCTAACTCAACTCAACGCAAGGCTGCATGTATGTTCTTATACTAAAGGTTTGCAAATCATTTTTGACAAGTGGGTAATTCTGCCCTGGGCCTCTAGATAAACTTGACGTAAAACCCATTTTCGGCTGAACGTCCCATTACAGTGAAACATAAGCAAGAGCTGCGTCTGAAGCGAACGCAGCGGCCGTGTCCGCAATCCGTCCGGTTTGCATTTTCCAGAATCAATAGCAAGTAAACAGTTTCAATAAGAGCCATTTATAAGTGATGTCATGGCACTGCGGAACTGCATCGGTGGGGAGGGGGGGAGGGGTAGCCCTCCTTTGGCAAGCGACTTATTGATTTCAGTTATGATGGAAACACTTATTTAACTATAGAGGAGAAAGAGCAGCAAATAATAATTTAAACAGAGCTAGCAAACAAACAGTGCAGGCGCATCTGTTAGCCGAAGAACCACTTTATTTTGTTTACATATTACAAAGAATTCTTTTTCTTTTCTGGTTAACCTTGGCTGACAGATTGCTCGCTAATCCACCACTAGTTTGTTAATATATACAATATCAAACAGAATGAGTTATGGGGGAAAAATTCTGGAAATGCTCATGCAATTCTACCAGAAAGCCCACAAATACTGAGTAGCTTATGGATGTGTAAGGCTTATTAGCATATGGATGTGTAAGGATTATTAGTGTATGGATGTGTAAGGATTATTAGTGTATGGATGTGCAGGCTTATTAGTACCGCTCCTAGGGGACTAGGTGAGCATCACTGCCATCGCTGCCAACACCTCCCATCCGAGGTAAAGGGAAATCGGCTGGCACGTTGGCACTGCCTCAGAAGTTGGCACCATAGGTGGCCGTCCATGTTTCCTATAAGATTGACTAGCCCTGAGTCTTGTCATTAGGGATGCACCAAGAAAGATACCAGCATCAGGTATTGGGCCAATGCTGTGCTCATATACTCATACTCACACTCGTAAAAAATGTCCGATACCAAGAACCAATGCCACTTAATAGCAACATTACATTAAATCATTTCGCCTTTTTTTGTTTTGCTGCCCAATCAGATTTTGGCATCTAGCGAGAGATTTGTTAACCATATTGGTCCAGGTATGCCAGGTTGAATATTGGTCTGGTTATGTCAGATTAGGTCATTGTTAGTTTCAGTGGGATAAATGCTGTCTTAAGTACTCGTATCAGTACTCAGTATCAGCTTACTCAAATGTAAGTACTCGCATTCGTTCTTGGTTTGAAAAAAATGGTACCCTACTTGTCTTCCAACCTTAATAGCCCGCAGCACCAAAACTCATTTGGTTTACTAAAGCAATGAATGTAATACTTTGGACGACAAGTCCAAGCACCAGGAAATCAGGAGGCGGGCCTTGCTGAAGAGCTGGACCCAGTAGCCTGTCAGAA